GATCCTAGAGGCAGAAATAGGAAGCTTCGACAGCAGAGGAATGATGTGTTCAGACCTATGTTTTAAGAATATCAATTTGGCAGCTGTGTAGTATATGAGTGTAAAGGAAGGAGAGGCTGGGAACAGGGAAACTCTTTAGGTTGCTGCTGCAATAGTCAAGATTAGATTGATGATGGCCTGAACTAAGATGGTGGCTGATGGAAAAAAGAGAAGCAGATGGATGAAGGAAATAACATGAATCTGCTTTAAACTCCTCACAGTATTCATCCTAACTGCCAAATAAATGATGATACTCTATTTTGGGGACGAAAATTGCAAGATTATAAGCATGTAAAAGTACCGCCTTTTTAATTAATGACAAAAGCACCAATACTCAGTTCTGTTCTTATTGCTATAATTACTGTTGCTGTCTTTTTTTTTTTCTAACTCAGATGAATTTGGTATCAAGTTACTGCAGCAATATGGCCCTGCTGTGGAAGTATAATAAAAGCTTTACTAACCAGAACACTTAAGACTAGGTTGTCTGTTTCCTTAAGTTTCTGGTAAACTAAAGCGTTAGAAATCCATATGTGTTTCTCTTCTTGTTCATGTAGATTCAGACCAACTCAGTGAAACATTTACTGAACTTTTTTTTTGTTTTTTTAAAACTGTATTGACTTTATACCTTAATAAATATGAGATTCCAAATATTTATTTTCTTTTGCTAAATGAGATTTTACAATTGCCTTCAAAGTCATCATTGTAAACATCAATTTTCATTTTATTGTAGATGTAGGAAATTTGTCTGAATATTGTATTGGCCACAAACATAACTTGGCTATTATTTTTAAAAATCTCTGATTTTAATAACTTTTTCTACAGAAAATAGAGTGTCCCAAAGAATACCCAGTCATTTGAAGTTCTAGTTTAATTTAATTCACCAAATATGTGAGTGCCTACTGTGTGCAGAAGTCTGTGCTATACATAGGAGAGATGGGATACAAATTATTATTATTCCTTAGAATGTATGCTCCTTGAGAATAGTTTCATTCTTTATCAATATTCTTAGCACCTAGTACAGTTTTTATAAGCATTTATAAGTGCTTGCTTACTGATTATTATTATCATGATAGTAAATATAACCATCCTAATCAATAACTTCAAAACTGCTTTTTAAAAAAATTCTGTAAAACATATCTTTGCTACCAGTTTAAGTTGCTGATAGCTAGTCACTTATTTATTACAATTCCATAATACTATAATAATATTATGTTAGAATATCATAATTATATTATATTACAATATTACAATTATATAATGTTACAATTCTGTAATATTACTAACATTTGCTCAGTCATTTGTGAGATGTTTTCTATGGCCAGGGAACCTGCCGAGGCTTTTTGTAGGGGAAAATGTTATTCTATTCTTCTTTGAAGTATATTATCTGAGACTGGTGGCTGCCATATTTGTCTTTCAGGCCTCCCGCTGTTTATGTTGTGTACCTGAAAGTGCTGACTTGGGGGCCTCTCAGTTTCTGTAATTGTGCACTACTAGGAAAGAAAGTGGACCCCTTCAACAAAAGTCTTTTGTTAAGATTTTTTTACTAGATGGAAACATGTGCATAGAAAATAAATACAAAATATATACAAAAATGGGTTTAGGGGTAGAGGAGATGAGAGGAGATGAGAGGAGATGGGGAAATGGGCCATCATGGATCAGAAAAGGCCTCATGTTAGGAGGTGGTACTTAAGTCATTTGTGAGATGTTTTCTATGGCCAGGGAACCTGCCGAGGCTTTTTGTAGGGGAAAATGTTATTATATTCTTCTATTATCTGAGACTGGTGGCTTCCATATTTGTCTTTCAGGCCTCCCGCCTAGTAAGATTAAGATTTTTTGAAATTTATCTAATGCTGTCATACTCAGCTACTGCTTCCTTACTTCAAAAGCCCAATAGAAGTATTTGTCTGATTTTAAAACTCTGAAATACACTAGGCCTTTCTTCACACATTAACCATAAGTTCTTCCCTAAGGACTCCCAACCCACTACCATAATGGACGTAGCAGTAGCTCAGTGGAAAAGAAACTGAGGAAACTAAATGTTTTTTAGAATTTAAATCAAAGAATATAAATCTGGTATAAAGTAGTCTAGTTAGAATCATTTGTTAAGGCCTTTTCTGTTTTCTGTCCCCTAAAGTTTCACATTGCATTGAGTCTTGCAGAGATGATGGCATGTGCTCTTTGGAAATTAGTGTGACATTATGCCAAATAAAGGCTTTCTTTGCTTTAAAGAGAGAAGAAAGGGGCAGCTAGGTGGCGCAATGGTTAGAACACCACCCCTGGAGTCAGGTGGACCTGACTTCAAATCTCCTCTCAGATCAAACACTTGACACTTACTAGCTGTGTGACCCTGGGCAAGTCACTTAACCCCAATTGCCTAAAAATTTAAAAAAAGAGAGAGAGAAGAAAGAAGCTAACGAATCAGTATGTGGCTAGTGGAAACCTTTGATGTTCTATCAGCCATGGGTTTAGTTTTCTAGTTTAGTGTTTTAACTGATGTTAAATGAAGAAACCTACTTAATAAGGGACACTTGCTGATTCATTTGTGATCTTTCTGAAAGAGAAATCATAAGTGTTCATTGAGAATTTATAGCTGTTTACAGATAAATTCAGAAATAAAGACAATCCACACTGAGTGAACTTGAATTTGAGAAGTTAATTTTGAAGGTTCTTTTGGTTTTTTCTTTATTTGTTTTTAATGAATGTCAGCGACGTGAAGACCAATTAATAGTGGATTTTTATGATCATAAAAAAGGAGAAAAATAAAATATTTTAAGGAATCCATGACTAACATATCACATGTGAAACTTCCATGGAGTTGGAAAAAATCCCCAATCACTTGTACTGTCCACCGCTTCTATGCTGGTTGATAGAATGTGAAAGATTTCCACTAGCCATATACTGATTCATTAAATTTGGTTGGAATATACCCTTTGCTTTGCCAGCCTTTTTTTCCCTTATCCTAAAAGCTCTTGAAAGCCACCCTTTCCCTGAAGATTTCCTTAAATAAATGAGAAAGGAAGCAGCATTGGATCAATCCTGTCTAAGGTTTTAGCTTCACAACTTGCCTTTCATTGGCCACCACACACTCAATCCTTTTCCCTTCTTCATACTAGTAACAAGATAATAATTTATGTATGCACTCAAGGTTGGTTCATTTCATTATGTCTCTATCCATATTATTGTCCTCTCTCTTAGCTTGTATGTATCTGCAGGGCAAAGGCCACATCTGTTTATTTCCACAACACAATTTGTCAAAAGATGTGTTTTGGCAATGATAAGGAAGAATCATGTCTTGGATATAGTCCCTCTTTCCTCCAGCACAATGCAACGACTAAATTGGTATTTCTGGGTACAAGGGACTTTCTTGGAAGCTCTCTTACTCTTGTTCATTAGGAATTGCTGCCAAGGTCACTATTATTTGTGCGTCCTTTCCCCCTTCCTCCCCTTCCCCACCATATTTTTCCCTCTGTTCAAGTGAGTTGGAAACTAGTGGGACAGTTACGTACTTGGGGACCTATGCCTTCTAATACAGAATCCTTCTGTAGTAGCAATTGTGGGCATGCTATTCATGACTACTGTCTCCAGCAACTGTGCCCAACCTGATTTATAAATGTATAAATATGCTATGGAATATAGAAAGTCGTTTTCTTTCTGTGTTTATTGGTATCCAGAATTTTGGTTTAAGATAGATTCAATAATGTCTTTTGTTATTAATGTTTGTCATACTAGATACTTTCTGTTCCAATCCAAACTCTCAGTCATTAAATTTTATTTGGGAAATAGGCCTTGATTTTATGGCAGAATTATACAGGTGAATTAAACAAAACGAGTGAAATTCTTTGAGTTTTTTGAAGCTTTTTGAAATTCTTTGGGTTTTTAGAAAGACAGCATGTATTAATTTATGAGATTTCTTAGGAAAAGGGCAAGTTCTTTTTTTAGTGATACCTCTATGGGTAACAAAATGATAAGAGTATTATCTTGTAATCCATAGTAACCTTACAGGGTTGTGAGTATAGCATGCTTAGTAAACTATATTAAGATACATTAATAAAGTGCAGCATATCATTTCTAATTGAATTCAGCACCTTTTTCAGAGGTGACTATTAGAACGCAGAAAATGTATTTGGTGTTATAGAGTAAATGTTCACCAAAAAATTAGATTTGATGAATTTAGGGGCAAATTTGTAACAGTTCCCTTTTGAACAAAAGACCTATGTTGTTTTGTTGCTTAAAAAAAAAAACTACTTGGAGAACTCTCTATCCATCTTTGTATTTTTCCTGTTGTCCAATGTGCTCTGTTTTCTCTTTTGCGTGATTTGCTGTTTTACTCCTACTCATTTTGTGTCTTATTATCTAATCTTACCACTGTGCACTAGGCATTCTGATAGAATTCAGAATAATTGTAAAATTCTCCCACATGAACCCTTTCCCCTCACTGGATCAGCTTTAAGAAATGGTGGTTTTTTATTTAGATATTTTTTCTTGAAACCATTTTACGAAATGTCTATGAAGAGAGAAAAGTCTTAAAGAATAAAATTACAAGGTTGCTAATTACTCTGATTAGAAGTAGCATCATTGAGCTATATTGAATTACATAAAAAGTACATTCCCCCCCCAAAGGATATTTGTCATTTAATTGTATTTAAATGTCAGTCATGATATTGAAGTAAAATAACATTTGGAAATTTTTTATTTCCTCTTCACTTTCTAGTTGTGATTTGATTTTGAAATTTATTTTTACCCATTTAACTATAAAATCGGTTAACTATATGTTATAGACATCTGATTTACTTATTCCCTCCCACCCCAAACTTTCTATTTTTTAAAAAGCTTATTTCATCTATCTGTAGAATAATAGAATAAGACTACCTTGGTTTGAAGGTAGAGGTTGCTGCATGCACAATTGCAAGTTTTTGCTGACTTTGCATTTTAACACAGGTTTGTGTTTCTCCTCTGCACAGTCCCTTCAGTCTGAATATGTTCAGTACTAAAGCCTTGCTGCTTCGATGAAAGCTGCTCAGCCCTTAGAAACTCATTGCTTCATGAGGAAGAACAATGTTGAGGGAAAGAAACTGCTCACTGGGAGGAGATCTCTGCATTCTTAACCTTAAAATTCAAGAAAGCACTCAGATCAGACCTCAAGGAGAGACTTGAAACCAGAAAGCTCTGGTTAATGAATACTGTAAATGCACTGAAGTTATGTTTATGGAGATGTTAATGATTCTGTCGGTGTGTTTTTAAAAAGGAATTTTTCATGTTGAGCCTGGTGATTTGAAGGATTATTTTTAATGTATTTCGATAATACACTTGTTATTACATTTCTGTACAGTGTTATATTATGTATGTATTGTCAAGCTAAAGACTATTTTGGTAAATTTATAAATATGTAATTGTGCAAAGATTAGAATATATTTTGATTTAGATTTTCTTGCTATTTGCTACCAAAAATATGTATTTTGAACTTTCTAGGATGATTTTATCTATGATGAATAAATATTTTCTCATAATAAAAAAAAGGATGTAGAAGAAAAGAACAGAAGGAAAAGAATGATTTTATGGACCCACTCTAAATACTATACGACCAGTTCAGTTCTTTTGGTAATCAGTCTTATTTACACAGTTTAGTTACAAGACTGTCACTAGCAAATGAGTGTAGTTGGTTGGTAGGGCGCCAGTTTTTCTTTTTCTCTCTGCTCCTTTGGATGATCTCCTGTTCATTTTCTCTGCATCTTGATGTTCCTTGTTTTTTAAGCTTTACATCTGGCTGCAGATGAAAGTTAACTAAACATTCCTCCTTGGAATATAAACCTTTCTGTACCAGACAACATTGAAACATTCTCAGAATTTTACATTTAAATTTGTTTTCAAAAGAAAGTTTTCTAGATTAGACTTCACTTCCACTGTGTGAGTTTGTTGCTGCCTGTAGTCAGTCATACATGTTCTCTCAGTAGCTTTAAATCATGAAAGGAAAAAAAATTCACAAGATGCTGGTATTCATCGCTTCAGTAAAGAAAAACAGTTTTAAGAGCGTAAGAGCTTGATGCAGATTTGGACTTGTTAGCAACATAATTTTTTTAGTGACCATTAGTATACATTATTACAGTTTTCTTTTTTAAGACTAATCATGCATTTATTTATCAGTATCCCTAGACAGTATTAGTTTGGAAAAAACAACCATGGTCCCTAAATGCTCTTCCTGCTGTACTTAAGCTCACATGAGAAATGTTAGTGAGAAAGGTTCATAGTACTTAACTCCAATCCTCAGGATTAATCCTGCTATATGTAGTAGGATGTCCTGTATGAGTAATACTTTACCAACAAAATACCCAGATCTTGTTTTACTAGAAAGTCATAGAAATAAATATTTGGCTCTGATTAGCTTAGTTTAACCCATATAGACTGAATAAAAATGAATAGACTGTAGGACCAAATAATTGTTTTAAACTGGTTCAGAAGGGAATCATAAATTTGCAGAAGTAAAAGAAAAAAGTTGTGAATAACTTTTTTTTAAATAGAAAAAGAAGTGTCTTGGATTTTTTATGTGTTATTGTCAAAATGATCAGTGAATGAGTACAAGAAGATGATAATATATTATGACTATTGCAATATCAATTTTATGTGAATTATTGAAGGAAATCCATTCATATCACATTTGCTGGGGGTGGGGAAGAAAAATCATGTTGACAACTTTGGTCTGTGAACAGTGATTTGTGTGCAGCTATATTAAAATGACTGTAAAACCTGACTACTGTAAATGTTGTATGTGTGTATATGTGTCATTTGTACCTACATATGTGTATGTATCTTAATATTATTTGTACACATGTGCATACATAGACACACCAAAAAGTATGTGTACATAGTATAGAAAATATAGAGCAAAATATTCTATTCCAATTATAAAAAGTTTGACATGTATTTTGTTATGAATAGCATACCTTCAAAGTTATATTTTGTTGTATTTTGAAGTGTAGATAAATACATTGCTAATAAATAATAAAAAGTTTTATCCATTTAAATCATTCCCTGGCTCTTATAATTTAGATGTGTTTGCTTTCTAGGCCCTGATATCCTGGTGTTTGTCTGGAGTTTTAATTTTCATCCAATCTGGCTGGCTGTTGGCTTCTGAATTTCTAAAAATTTTAGTTGTATGTTTTTATTTTACTGTTATTAGCAATTAGCCTTTGGAGAGGCTAATGTCAGGGTGGGTAGAGGGCTGCAGCCCTGACCTTGGAATCAAAAATACCTAGGTTCAAGTCAAGCCTCTAACACATACCAACTTTCTAACCATGGACAAGTGACTTAACCCCTGTCAGTGCCCTAGGAATCTCTCTAAAACTCTTCATTTGTAGACTAGTTGTAGATTTGCATCAGTGGAGGGAGCTGTCACATGGGAAGGTGATTACAATGGTGAAACCACAGGTCTGGACTCCACTCGAAAAATCACTGATGTCATACATGTACAATGTGTGGGGGGAAGGCTGTTATTGTTAAGCTTTATAGTTTAATTTCATAAAAAGTCAAATAGACTCACCCTACAGTTATTTTCCCTTTTCTATCTGTCATTGTCAGGCTTACTTTTTTGGGTCATGCCTGTCATCAGAACTAGACCCAATGGAAAACAGAGCCACAGAGAAAGAACTGATTTCCTGCTGCCTGCCCATTTTTCAATTTTGTAATGCATTTGTCAAATCAGAGGCTGAGTGACTGCAAATAGGTATCCACTAAGGAAAAAGCAGGGTAACTTTTTGGGGGTCATTGAACAGTCTCTCCTAATAGCTGCATAGACCCTTGCACAAAGAATTCTGAAGTGTTCCTCCTTTGGAGGAGCAAGCTGAAGGTTGGCATGTTTTACTGGATTGTACATTGTCTTAATTTGGGGGGATAACCAGAGTAATGTGGACGTGTTTGAAAAGATAGGCTTTGTCTTTCTTAGCTCTTATTTTCCTGGTTTCTAGGGAAGAAAACAGGTCCAGCTAATGACAGCTAAAGTTGTGACTCTGTCAACAGGTCACTCTAAACATCCGGCCAGAGAATGGAGGATGAACTAAATACTTGGTGGTTGGTGAAAGCAGTACATAAAAAATAATAGAAAGGGTTAAAATAACTGACTTGAACCTGTGTAAAAAATAGAACAAATGTAAAAAAGGAAAGAAATCTGGGTCCTTCTGATTTAGAGTCTGTCAGAGGAGTAGGCATGCTGTGTCTTCCTACAAGTTCAGAATATTTGTTGCGAAAGAAACTAAACCAACAGTTATTTCGCAGGAATTAAGTTTGCATGGTTTTAAACAGATGGGCTTTGAATGATGTGTCAGGCTCTAAGTAGATCCAGAGAAGCTATTCAACTTGGTTTACCTGCAGTTCTCTTTTTAAAAACTTTTTTAATTTAAAATTTTTTAATGTTCATTTCTAAATTTTCTACCTCCCACCATACCTTCTATCACCCATTGAGAAGGCAAGAAATATGATTTCATTATATATGCATATATACATATATTATATATATGAAGTCACTAAAGCATTTCCACATGAGTCATGTTGTGAAAAAAGGCAAGAAAAATAAAATGAGAAAAAAGAATGCTTCAATCTATATTCAAAGTTCATCATATCTCTCTGCAGATGGATAGCATTTTTCATCATAAGTCTTGGAATTGTTGTGGATCAATTGTGTTGATCAGAGTAGCTAAGTCTTTCACAGTTGATTATCATTACACTACTGCTGTTACTGTGTATAATGTTCTCCTACTTCTGCTCACTGTACTTTGCATCAATTCATAAGTCTTCCCAGTCTTCATCATTTCTCACAGCACAATAGTGTTCCCTCACAATCATATACCACAACCTGTTCAACCATTCCCCAGTTAATGGGCATCCCTTCAGTTTCCAAAAAGAGGTGCAATAAATAGGTTTAACTGTAATTTTAACAGAATTAAAACATTTTCTTTATTTACTAGATGCTACACAAATTTAATTTTTGAATTTGAATTTCATTGGTGAGCCTTCCTCTATGAATTGTTCTAAGCATATCAGTGGATTATATGATCCTTTTTTAATCAACTGCTATAGTACAAGTTGGACAGTATTTCATAATGACTCACATTATATTAAATGGAAAAGAATAGAAGCGATCTGAGACATTATCTCATCAGCTCTCTGCCAATTTTGTGAATGAATTCCTTCTACCACTACCCTCTCTCCTTTGATAATGCACAGCCATTTTAATGAGAAGAGTTAATAGTATCTATAGAACTAAGAGTTTTCTTCTTTGATCATACAACAAAATTTGGATAACAGAACGTATCAGTCCACCCTCAGGAGATTAAAGATATTTCTAATTACAGTATGAAGTTCCACATAAAATAAAGCATTTTTATTTACACATAGTTTGCATGTAGAGTTCACGTGGGATCCAAAGTAGAAAATAATTGTATAAAATTATTTTGAGCTGAATTAAAATGTTAATACATTCCTACCCAGTTCCTTCTCTATGGAGTGAATTATGTTAATCAGACCAAGGGGGAAAACAACTTTTATAAGAAGCATAAAACCTTTATTAAAAAAAAAAGTTCAGATGGAAACTAATATTGGGTAGCCTGAGATGCTTCTAATTAGTAGCTAACTAGCAAGCTGCTAAAAAAGAAATTAGCTGACTTTTCAGTAATCTATTTGAATTTACTTAAGCTTTTATTGTTTATTTTTAGAGGGGTTAGGTGTGATAAAGGTATTAACCTAGACAATTTCATTGTTTAGTTTTGGTTCACATATGTCACTGTCATTTCTGGAGCTGTTCAAAGCATTTCTAAGAAGTAGGGATGCAAGGGGAAAACTGGGGAGACATTAACTAGAGAAAAGATTTTTAGGTTCCAAAGGCTTCAGTTGATAAGTTCACTTCATTGCCTCAAAATGACACTTTCTTCCCATATTATCAAATATAAAAAGCAAAAATGTGGAAATCTTGAGAAATTGGCAACAACAAATGAGGAAGTACACAGATTAGGAAAGTTTTGTTAGAACGTCAGGCTGCTTTGAAAAAAGGATGTCTCTCTTGTGCAGTGATATCTCAGGAGCATGTATGTGGTACCCTAATAACTCATCTGATTCCAGCCAGCACAATAAACCTGAGAGGGCAAGATTTTTAAAACTGGGAATTGGAGAAAGAAGCCTTCTCTTTTGCTCCCCCCCTAAAAAAAAAAAAAAAAGAATGCAATGCTAGAGATAAGAGTTTAATTGGCCAAAAAGTCAGAAAGTTCAGTTTTTAGGTTTCCACAGCAACCTTCCTTGCCTCCTTTGTTTTGAATTACAATAGGGACCTCTTTGCATGCTTACACAACACTGAGCAACAATCATTAGAAGGAATTTTAAGACGATTTTTATTCTTCAAAATGAATATAGGAATCAATGAGATACAATTTAGTTTATCAATAACACTTTCTGGTTTCTGTGGAAGTGCATCATTTTTATATTAGTATACCTGCTATACACTAATTTTAGGACCCTATTTAATAAGAGATTTTTATAAAAAAAAAAGCATGTAATTTTAAATTGACCACACTTGGAAACCTAAAAAGTACAGTGTGTTTTACGCTTTCCTGCGTGTATTTGCACATGAACCAAGACTTTCTACTTCTGTATGTTATTTGTCCATTGTTTTCAAAGAGGACCAGATTTTAAACATATACTTCTGTATATATACATACACATACACATACATATGTACATACATGTATACACACATGCATATCCATATACACACACACACACAAACCACATGATCCCTTCTCTCTTACTGATTCCATTTTAATGCAGTTTTGAGGCCATACACCTCAAGGATCTCTGTTTCTTATGCTTGGTTTGAACCTTTTGTTCAAGTTTTCTCTTTTCTCCTTGAGCTCTTTGGCAGTGGGGTGCTGCATGTATCCAACTTTTATCGTCACTACTTGGTTCCTAATGGGGACTTAGCAAAAGACACTAAATAGTTCATGGATTAGACCTAGAAGCTTGAGAAAAGTGACTTTTTTCACCTAACCAAATATAGTCTGAGACATTTTTCTGCATGAGTTGAGATTTTAAGGAAGATTTTAAATAAAATGTTTGGCCTGGTTAGGGGTGGCTTGGTGGGAGGCTGCATCAAGGAATATGAGATTGCATGGTGCAATCTTGTAAGAAGAGTCAAATTGAAGTGGGAGAAGAAAGGTGTTTGAGTAGATTTACTGGTTTAGAGTGAAGCAAGCAGGTAAGAAAAAGGGGCCTGAAGAGGTGATGTATGAGATTATATGAATTAGCTGAGATCCTTGGAATCTGCTGCTATGGGCTTCTCTTGTGGGAGGGTAAAGGATGTAGCAGGGAAGGTAATTTTTATTCTTTGGATCAACTATAGAATGAAGTTGAATAAATCTGTGGTAGATTACGTGGGCTTGACCAGTATATTGGTTATGACTGATATGCTCAGTTGATAAGAAGCATGCATTTGATACCTCATTTCTCTGTTCCATAGTCAGCCTGTATATCCTGGTCACAAAGGGGACCTAGTGAGACCTTGTGAATCCTTCAGTGCTACTGGAAAGATAAACCCTAGTACTTGCCTTACTGATGGTGGATCATCTTCATATACACAGGCTATCACATGACAAATGCTGAACCAGGAATTTGGCTTTGAGGATAGAATGAAAGAATCTTGAGGACGTCATAGAGGACAAAGGATCACCATGTTGTGACATCCATGTAAGAGGGGAGAGAAAAGAAGAG